TGGCCAGAACCCAGTAGATCAGTTATCCAAGAATAATCTTGGTGCTTTCTTCTTAAGTAACCTATATTGATTAGTAAAGTCTCCCAAAGATAATTCACTATCAGGAAAATTTTGTATGAGTCACTGGAAAACCTGGACTTTCCCCAAATTCTACCTCAAAATGAACAATAGAAGAAATGTTCGGCAGATAATTAAGTTATGATAGATACTACTTACTGCATCAGAGTCCTTTGCAGTCCTATTTGTGGCTTCTATCTGCTTTCATAGGCAGACCCACTCATATCAAAAAGGTCAGAACTTTTAGTACCCTACATAAACTATAAAAACTTAATGAGCAAAAATTATCATAATTCAGCAACAAAAGGAATTAACTATCTATGCATTGTCTCAAAAAGTGCAATCCATTTAAAACAGATCTTTACTTATATAGTCTATGAAAGTAGATCCATCCTTTATCTAAGACCCTGGGACACTGGAATTCTTGCCCACACAGCTTTGAGGTATTAGAATTTCAAACCAGTGAAACAAATGGGAGGAGCCAGCTTATGTGTGGCACTTCAAGCAGGGTATTTTGAAAACAAAAAAGGCAAGGTCTCAAATAAAATCGGGAATATAGTATTTTGATCTAATTAGTACTATGCTGTAAAGCTATATTTTTGGAATTTTTGTGGTTCCAAAAGTGCTGAAATTTTTCATGTAACCTGAAGTGCCTTAATAAGAAAGTTTACTTTCTAATTTATAAACATAGTACCAAGCAAGACCAATGTTGAATCCTCTTGAAGTGGATGTTAGGGTACATAATACAGATCTCTACCCCTACCCCTTTCTGAATGGAGGTATTCACTCCCTCAGCCACTGGGAATAATGCCTGCAGGGAGCTCAAAGGTATGTCCCTCACCAGAACTGAAAGGAACTACCTTGGCCAAGGTTCCCCCTCCTCCCCAGTGACAGCCTGAATCCAAACGCTGTGTGATGTGAAGGTGATGGGGAAGAGGCAGAGGAGGGAGGGAGCGGTTGCCCTGAAGGCTGGACACCTTGCCTCAATCTGAAATATTAATAACTTTGAGAGGTCATCCTTGCTCCAGAACTTTCTGTGAAATAAGCTACTAACTTCTCCCTCCTGCTGCCTTCACCCTCTCACAGGTGTTGCTTCCAAGAGCACTCCCCAATAAACCTGCCATACACAAACTTCCATCCCAGAGTCTGCTTCCTAGGAAAACTACCCAAGACAAAAGGACACAGGAACCACCTTAAAGGGGCTTCAACTGGCCAAATCAGGGAGTTATGATAATAACAGATTAAAACCTATTGAATAAAAATAATGAACCCATACTGATAGAAAGAAAGAAAGGAAAGATGAGAGGGAAAGAGGGAGGGAGGGAGGAAGGAAAGGAAGGAGGGAGAAAATAAAGCAAAGTTCTTCCATACATTTATTAGTGGAATTCAACTAATAAATGTAAAAGTCATGTTGTACATAAAGAATCAATTGTGACAACCATCTATCAATGAAGCTTAATGCTTCTGGTGCGTGGGGGCTAGCTGAGGATCAGGATATTGATGTAATCTTGGATCCCTTTCACATGAAATACAGATTAATTACAAAGGGGAAAATGGAGAATTTAAAGTGAAGAAACCTGGCAAACACAAATATGAGCAGATAATCAAGGTTAATATTACCAGTAGTGAGATAGGTCTACATTATGTACCTCTTGATGTGCACAGCATCATTTCTGGAAAGATTACATGATTCGAATTTGGTCATGCAGAAACACCAGATGGATCTAAGTTGAGGGCCATTCTACAGAATGTACGGTCTCAAAAATTGTCACAATATGGAAAACAGATAAGATAGAGAACTATTCCAGATTGAAGGAATCCTAATAGACATGACAACTGAATGTAACACACATTCCTAAAGGATACCCTAAACCAGAAAGGGAAAAAAAGTTTGACCAGTTGATGAAATTTGAAGCAGGCCTCTGAGTTGGATTATAGTGTTACACCAATGTTGATTTCCTGATTTGAAGGAATATCCTTATTTGGGGTAAGTATCTACTGGAATATTTAGTAGTTATGGGACATTGCATCTGTAGCAAAAAGGTTTGGGGGGAAAAACCTAATGATAAATAGAGTATACATGATACACAGAGAAAGAGAGAGACAAAGAAAGAGAGGGAGACAGATACAAAAAGAAGAAAATGCAATAAAATAGGAATAATTGGAGAGTCTAGGTGAAAGAGAGTTCTTTTTATTATGGCAGCTTTTCTATTAAAAAATTGTTTCAAAGTAAAAATTATTAGAAATTATTTTCTATTCTCCTTACACTCTTATAAGCACTTTCAACACTCTAGCTGGCATTGTTTTTATTGGATTAAATGATCTCTTGGAACACCTCAAAAATAAGCTCAGACTCAGCAAACATGGTATAGACCAAAAAACCAAAACAAAAATCTCAAAGGTACAGATTAAACTGATCATGACAAGGTCTAATGCTACCTGTTACTGATGAACAGGCAGCGTTAGCATGTTTTCCCTCTGAATCTGTGCCCTGTGCAAATCTGTAAATGTATATATAATATTAATCCTCTGGTATTTATTGAGGTTTGTTTTATGGCCCCCTATGTAGTAAATATTTGTAAACTTTTTATGTTTTTAATAAGAATCTGTATTGGGAAGGTCAAGTGTTACGTTCTATATGTCTATGATTTTAAACTTGATTGTGTTGTTTAAATATTCTATATCCCTTACTGATCTCTGCTGATCTATCAGTTACTAAATTTCAAATCATACATTAGGTCAGGTGCGGTGGCTCACGCCTGTAATCCTAGCACTCTGGGAGGTCGAGGCAGGAGGATCGCTCAAGGTCAGGAGTTTGAGACCAGCCTGATCAAGAGCGAGACCCTATCTCTACTATAAATAGAAATTAATTGGCCAACTAAAAATATACAGAAAAAAATTAGCTGACCATGGTGACGCATGCCTGTAGTCCCAGCTATATGGGAGGCTGAGGCAGTAGGATCGCTTGAGCCCAGGAGTTGGAAGTTGCTGTGAGCTAGGATGATGGCACTCCAGCCCACAAAAAATATAGTCATCTGATCTTTGACACAAGAAAAAGGGAATACAATGGAGAAAGGATAATCTTTTCAACAAATGATGGTGGAGACTTGGACATCCACCTGCAAAAAAAAAAAAAAAAATCTAGACATAGATCTTACATCCTCACAAAATTAACTCAAACTGGATCAGAACCTAAATGTAAAATGCAAAACTATGAAACTCCTAGAAGAAAATATAGGAGAAAAATCTAGATGACTTTGATTTTGGTGATAAATTTGTATATACAATACCAAAGGCAGGATCCATGAAATAATTTATAAATTCATTAAAATTTAAAACTTCTCTGCAAAAGACACTTTTAAGAGAGTGAGAATACAAGCCACAGAGTGGAAGAAAATATTTGCAAAAGATCTATCTAATAGAAGACTGTTATCCAAAATATACATTGAGGTCTGAACATAGAACTCACCAAAGAAGATATTCAGATGGCAAATAAGCATATGAAGATGTTCAATGTCATACATCATTAGAGAATTGCAAATTAAACAGTAAGATACCACTAGACACCTTTTAGTACAGCTAAAATCCAAAACACGTACCACCAAAAGCTGGTGGAGATGTGGAATATCAAGAACTCTCATTCATTACTGATGGGAATATAAAATGGTACAACCATTTTGGAAGACAATTGGGCAGTTTCTTACAAAACTAAACATACTCTTACCATATGATCCATTGTGTTTCTTGGTATTTGCCCAAATGAATTGAAAACTAGTGTCCATAATATATGAAACAACCATGTGATATTCTGGAAAAGGCAAAACTATGGAGACAGTGAAAAGATTAGTCAGTAGTTGTCAGGGGGAAGAGAGAGTCAAATAAGAGAGAATTTTTAAGGCAATAAAACTATTGTTATGATACTGAATAGTAGACACATGTCATAATACATTTGACAAAATCCATAGAACGTATACTATCAGTAATGAACCCTGTGTAAATGATGGACTTTGGGTGCTAATGAGGTGCTAATGTAGGTTCAATTTTAACAATTCTACCACTCTGGTGGGGGATGTTGATAGTGAAAGAGGCTTCACATGTGTTGAGGCAGGGGGTGTATGGAACTCTGTACTTTCTACTCAGTTTTGCTGTGAACCTAAAACTGCTCTAAAATAAAAAGCGTGTTTTTAAAAAATACTATAAAATGCATTTAAAAGAAGCAACAGATAAAATATAATAGCAAAGTTTCACAAAGATTACTGAATGGGCCAGGCACGGTGGCTCACGCCTGTAATCCTAGTACTCTGGGAGGCCAAGGTGGGAGGATTGCTTGAGGTCAGGCATTCAAAACCAGCCTGAGCAAGAGTGAGATCCCCGTCTCTAATATAAATACAAAGAAATTAACTGACCAACTAATATATAGAGAAGAAATTAGCCAGGCATGTTGATGTGTGCCTGTAGTCCCAGCTACTGGGGAGGCTGAGGCAGTAGGATTGCTTGAGCCCAGGAGTTTGAGGTTGCTGTGAGCTCTAGCCTGGGCAACAAAGTGAGACTCTGTCTCAAAAAAAAAAAAAATTTACTAATACTTACAAAACAATTTTAAAAGTACACTCAAGTTTTAAACCATGCTTGCATTCTTAAAATCTAAGTCAGTGTTTATGTAACTATGGTCCAAGGACCCCCGTGTCAGAAACACCTGTGGCATTTATTAAAATTTAGTAACTCCTTGAACTTTTCAATAATTGGACTCATTACAAAAGCCTAAAGTTAATGGGATTAGAACAGACTCACAAAGTTACCAAGGCTCAATGTATTCATGTATTCAACATACTACTCTTGGAAGGTAAACTCCTAAATTTCAAAATTATGTAAGCAGCTTGTTGTATTTATGAGTAATTTTAATCTAGTAGATGACTCAGAGAGTTCTCTGTCTTTCTCTCTCTCAGCGTTATCTATAAGTGATCCATCTTTCAGAAGCAACGAATTATCCTGGATGTCTTTTGCTTCCTTTCATATTCAAAAAAAGACGCATATTCAATTGCAATTTCAGCCTCTTGCTGCAGATGGTATCCTATTTTACACTGCACAACATTTAAAAGCACAATCAGGTAAGACTGGCAAGATCTTTATTTGCAGAACAAAAAACAACCCAATGAATTCCTAATAGTACATTAAGTAATGTGTAGTAGTGTTTAAGTCATCTAGTCTGTAAAATATGTAAACACTTGATGCTTTTATGTTCTATTGTCACTGCAAGTGTATGCTTATGAATTTAGTCTCCCTAAATAGAAATGCTAACAAAATAGCAAGAGGTTTGTTGGAATTAAAGTTAGATAAATCCAAATATAGTATATGCTCAACTTTATGACAATCCCATCAAAAAAGACATTAATGCTATGCATGATAGCCCTTTGTATGAGACAAAATATGCATATAAAGGATTTTAAAAGGGAAGGCATAGCTGATATATTTCATGTAGATTCATACACATTTACAGCTGCAAATATCCTCAAGCTATTCCATCACTCAAATAGTAAGCCTAAGGTTTGCATTCCAAAATAAGTTTATAAAAACATTTTGAACCTTAAAAGGTGCATATTTATCATAAAATATGGAATGAAATATCCAAGTAGAATGCTCCAACTTTAAAAATTAATCTTTTAGGTTTTATTACTTTATACTTGATTTCTATTTTCATAGCTTTCTCCAGAATTCTGACAAAGACATTTGTATATATAGTTACATTTCTATTGCAAAATGTTTTTAAAATTTTACATTTGGCTTTCTTTCATCTTGTTTCTCAGAAAATGAAATTTCGGTATTGAGAAATAATTAAATCGGTTTACTTTGTTTCTCATAATTAACAAAAATGGTGCTCTGATTTTCACACTCTAAGTATTAATAGTTCTCATGTGACTTTCTTCATGTGCTTCTAAATGATAAGAATGTAAGAGAATTAGACCAAACTGGGTCCATCCCAATGCACTGCTGAAATACCTTCAAAATAATTTCAAAGAAAAAAGGTAATTTTAAAGAGAAAAAGATAACATAATTGAGGTATATACCTCAATTGAGGTTTATAAGGTATATATAAAATATACCTTAGAAGAGATTTGTTCTCCTAAGATTTGACAATTGGTTTTAAATTCATGATTAACTGAAATCTCCCTATGGAAATGTTAAATGGGAGAACCATGCCCAAGAAAATTTCTCATTATAGAAATTTTTATAGAGAAAATTTCTATTTATAAACGAAAAGACATTAAAAGACAAACAGCTTCAGTTGTATTGCTCATTTAAAAACTCAAGATAATGTAAGTAGGACTTTTGTATAAATGAGTATAAAGTCAAGATATATTTAGGATTATGACTGGCTGGGCATGCATTTAATATATATTTGTGTTTATGTATATGAACTATTAAGCTTATACACATCAATACACATAGAAGGGCAAGAGCACATCTTAGCATGTTACTCAATGCATGTAGTTTATGACAGTCAAGATTTTCCTTTTTCATATCATCAGACACTTTACAAAGAGAGATTCATTAGTTTCACATCATGATTCACACTGCATTTGATACTTATGTAAGGAAATCATAAAAATTTTGAAATATTAAAAATCTAAGTTTTACAGGCTTAGACCTAGATCAACCTAAAGATAATTATCAGATGAAAGGCATAAGCTTATTTTTTAGTAATCAAGTGATGTAAATAGCTTATTTGAAGTCTGTTTCAAAGGTTGCATAAAATATAGATGACTGTCCTGTACTTTGTGCCTTCTCTAAGAGCTATGTCTGATGTAAACGTCAACCAAGCCTTCATAGCTGATCCCCTGCTAAGTGGAGCTATTTGTAAAAAATACCCACTTAATATACAATGTCAAAATTCACAAATGTAGATATCAGCAGCTGATTAGGTTTTTATACAACACAAAAAATCAAATTCTACATTAACAAAGTTTCTGTATCTCTTTAAAGATTAATAATTTGAGTGCTCTCAAATACTGTAAAATTTAAAACAAAATGGTAATTTAAAAATTATCCTAGATTTTAAACCCCTGATTTTTGAAAGATACTATAAAGAGCTAAGACCCTGGCCCCTATTTATCTCTGCTAAAAATGTAATGTCTTAAAATGATTTTTATATATACAAAAAATTATCAATGTTGTTAAGCACAAATGAATATTGATAACCTGAATTCATCTTTATATATTTATAATCCACCCAGACTAATGTGTACTTAAAAAGCCTAGTCATTGCAACATAAAGTTGAAGCATATTTAAATAAGATACAAATAAGTTAAAATTACCTTTGTTTTCCTTTTCTAGAGAGTATATAAAACCTCCCTAATTTGCTGTTTCTATAGTCTCTTAACAAATGTTGAGTCCTACAAGGTGTCTCTCTGATCTACTAAGAAGCACGGTGGGGATGGCAGAGGATGGGGTAGAAGCAATGGCCAAAGAAAGGTGGGAGGGTGGAGCCCCAGCTGTGGTTAAATGAACATTAAATAGCCGAGGTGAATTCAATGGAATTCATTCCATTTGAGCTCTGTTTCTCACAAGGACTGTTTATTATATTTTCTTACTCTAATGCCAATCTGTACATAACTAGAGAACCATATCCTAATCAACTGAAATAAAAAGGCCAGATGGTTTAAAGACGAAAACTGCTAATACTGCTACAAGAGGAATTTTATCTTCCACAGCCACAGACAGAGAAAATCTCTTTGTTAATTCTTCGTAAGAACATACTAGCACAGTTAAAATAACCCTTCTTTCACAGAAGCTCTTCTTGCTGTCTCTTCTGGTTGGAAACTTGACCAGTGAAATAGATCACAGCTTCACCTTTCCCAATCATTTGTTAGATACTTTTTATTCTCATGTAGTTTTACACTCTTAAGTTGTTTACTACAGAAACACTCTACAACACAAGTAGCAAGAAAAGCTCCTTCCATAATCCTGTGAAAGAGAACTGGTTTGTATTCATTTGCAGGCTACCACTTATATTCAGAGTACTACAAAATTTTTGAACTCAGTATCAATTGTTTCCTTGCTCTAGATTGTTATAGTACAAAAGTTTTAAATAATCCATATTTCTTACATAACCTGAAAGTTTGTAATACTGCTTCTCTTATGGTTAAAATGCTGTTCTATTATAGTTAAAATGCATGTTAGAAATTATTATGAAAATAAACTCAGTTTCTTCCTGTTAGAAAATTTAAAAATAGTTTTCATATCATTAAAGGTAAAATGGTTTTGCTTTCAGACTTAAACTAGCATTTGAGAAATATCCTGAGTCATCTCACTGCATAACCCTAGAAAGATATTTAAATTATTTATTGACCCTCTATTTATGTGCCAGGCACTGTGCTAGGTGCTGAGGATAAGCTGTTTGGCTAAACCTGACACAGACATTGTTCTCATGAAGACTATGAGCTAGTGGATGAGGCAGTAGTTAATCATATATAATGACAGAGGATTATATTTATTAAAAGTTCTCTATGAGGAAAATGATCTAAGCAAGAGAACCATAGTTTGATAGGTATAGAACTGTAGAGCTGTCAAGTCTTCCAGTTGTCCTAGAATGGTCTGGTATGGACCATAAAGGGGAGTAGAAGGAATGAACACTACTTGTGAGAGGGAGGTAAGGAAATACGGCATCCCAGGGGCAGGGCAGGGGGAGGAAGAGGGAAAAGTAGCATAGTGTCAAATATCCCTAAATGAGAAAAGGTCATGTGAAATCTTTGAGGGAGGAGAAAGTGTTACTCTGCTGAAGATGTAAAAGCCCTTTGCTACCCTCTTGAAACAATCTTACACCGAAGAGCTACATTCTTTTCCAAAGCAAGTAGAGTTGCCTTTACTTTTCATCTGCACGGCTCACTGCAACTTCAGATGCTGGATCATATTTGTTCAGATTTGTTCCCACATGACTATATAATCACAGAATAAGATAATACTGTGGCAGAAAATCCAGCAATATTGAAGCACAGAAAAAACAAACAAACAAACAAAAAAAAACCTGACCTACTCTGAGAAATCAAGAAAGACTTCTCTGAGGAAGTAGCATTTGATCTGAGACCTGAAGGATGGGTAGAAGTTACCTAGTTGAGGTGGAATGGAGTGGAGTGTTTCTAGAAAACATACACAAAGGCCCTGACAAGGCACATGAAATTCTAACCGGGTCAGTGTCACTGGACTAAAGAAAGGAGGTTTAGGGAGACAGTACATTCCAGGTAAGACTGGAGAGAGGGGAGAGGAGCCAGGAGTTGACACAGAGCCTTTATAGGTATGTGAGTTTAGGTATCTAGTCCAACAACAGTGAATGACATTATAGGGTAACATACGGATCAGGATTTCATTTGAAAAGATCACTTCAGCTTTAGTGTAGATTAGAAAACCAACTGGAAATGAAGAAAAGTGGAGGAGGCAACAGATCAAGCTAGAAATGAGAGTTAAATTTAACTAAGGTGGCAGGAGAAAAGTGGACAGAATCAAGAATTTTTACAATGAGTCAAAATGCTATTAATAAAACTGTTTGAGACCTATTTTGTGATAGATTTAGGTGTTGAGTGAAAAAAGATGGCTCCAAGGATCACATCTAAGTTTTTGGCTTCAAGAACTGGATGGATAAGGGAGTGATATACTGACTTTGGGAAGACTGGAAGAGGCCAGGTTGATGAAAGTTCACACACTGAGATAAGAACTTTAGAGCTTGCAGTGCATATAAAACACTCATATAGACATCTAGAATAGGGAGTTCTGTACTCGTAAATAGAACTTGAAGCCACGAAGCATGGCTGAAACTTAGGAAAGCATGCAATATAAGAAATGTTCATAGCATTACTAAGTGCTCTCTCAATTCTTTCCCCTTGTTTATCTCCCCAATCTCTCTTCAAAACCAAATCAAATGTCTTATTTTTACACATTCACTCTTAACTAGAATCATTTAAGGAAATGATTCTTTTAGTGCCGTAACACTTTCATTGAGAACTGTCTACAACTTGGGAAAATTTATTTGGCCAATTGAGGAACAAAAGAATACAGGATATAATGTGTAATGTATACAAGTATGTTTTGATCTGTAAGTTCAAATAAAATTAACAGAATTGTGCTCCAGATTTGCTGCATTTCAAAGCCAAAACTTACCCCAATTGGCCAGAAAGAACAAAGGCTTTTAATAAAAAACCTTTTACTATTACTAAACTGATTAATATTCTCTTTATTGACAGGTGACTTTTTATGTATCTCTTTAATAAATGGTTTTGTTCAACTTCGCTACAATCTTGGTGACAAAACTATCATTCTAGAAACTCTCCAAAAAGTAATTATCAATGGAAGTACTTGGCATGTGATAAAAGCAGGAAGAGTTGGTGCAGAAGGCTACCTGGATCTGGATGGGATAAATGTAACAGAAAAAGCATGCACTAAAATGAGTTCCCTGGACACAAATACAGACTTCTACATTGGAGGAGTATCATCCTTAAATCTTGTAAATCCCATGGCAATAGCAAATGAACCCATAGGTTTTCAAGGTTGTGTCCGAGAAGTTATTATAAATAATCAAGAATTACAATTAACTGAACTAGGAGCAAAAGGTGGTTCAAATGTAGGTGACTGTGATGGGACAGCCTGTGGATACAACACGTGCAGAAATGGGGGTGAATGTATAGCAAATGGCACAACTTTTTATTGCAGATGTTTGCCACAATGGGCTGGAAATACATGTAACCAGTCTGTGTACTGTTTGAATAATCTTTGTCTCCATCAATCTCTATGTGTACCTGACCAATCATTTTCTTATAGTTGTCTGTGTACTTTGGGTTGGGTGGGAAGGTATTGTGAAAACAAAACTTCATTTTCAACTGCAAAATTTATAGGTAATTCTTACATTAAATACATTGATCCAAACTACAGAATGAGAAACCTTCAGTTCACTACTGCATCCTTAAATTTCAGTACTACTGAAACAGAAGGCCTAATTATATGGATGGGGAAAGCTCAAAATGAAGAAAACGATTTTCTAGCAATTGGTCTCTATAATCAGACCTTGAAAATAGCAGTTAACTTAGGAGAAGGAATCTCTGTGCCTATGAGCTATAGCAATGGCACACTGTGTTGTAACAAATGGCACCATGTACTTATAATTCAAAATCAGACTCTAATCAAGGCCTACCTAGATGACAGTCTAATTCTTTCTGAGGATATTGATCCACACAAAAAGTTTGTTGCTCTAAATTATAATGGTATTTGTTATCTGGGGGGGTTTGAATATGGTCGAAAGGTAAATATTGTTACTCAAGAGATTTTTAAAAGAAATTTTGTTGGCAAGATTAAAGATGTTGTATTTTTTCAAGATAAAAAGAAAATTGAATTAGTTAAATCAGAGGGATACAATGTTTATGATGGAGATGAACAAAATTAGATTACATAAGTTAATATTGGTGATTTTAATACAGAAAATATGAATATAGTTACTTTGACAATTATTTCTTTGGTAAATTATTTACAGGGAATAAGCTGTTTATTATTACCTGAAATAGTCTAAATGCTAGCACATCTTTCTGATACCTGTAAAATGTCACTGAAGAAAAGGTTCTGTTTTCCTACATCTAATTTATCTGTGTATATATGTTGATTCCTATGTTTTAACTCCATCAGTTCATTCAGTGTTTACTCATCTATGAAAGTTTAAAAATAAAATTCAGATGAGAATTAATTAGTGATAAGGGGAAAAGTTATTAAGCAGAGGAAAAATAAAAATTATACAAGGAAATGTAACCATACAACACTATGTGGCTCAGCTACAATCATTTATATGACTACAATATAAAACTTGAATATGGACTTAAACCAAAAATTATTGCATGTTGGAAGGGAGAGAATGAGGGCAGGTGAGAGTGGGCTGATAAGAGCTAAATTCTTATCTTTCATAGTAAGATATCAATAGATAATACTGTATTTGTAACTTAAAATGTTGCACATGCATGTCACAAACGGGAAGGCAAATATCCCAAGAAATGTCTAAAAGGATTAAAAGTGGTTGCCTCTGGAGAAAACAGTGCAGAGAACTGTTGCTTTTTGTTTATAAACCTCGTAGAACTATTTGACTTCTTAAACCAGGTACTTACATAAGTGATCAAAAAATAAATTTCATTTATGTTTAACTGTTGTCAAGTCTACAGATCGCAGAATTAGCCATAAAACAGGTTCTAAACACCATTGAAAATTACCATCCTTATATGCACTGCTGAAAGTATAAATTGAAAAGCATATATTTTGCCCAAACATCAGTTGTTGATATAATTGTGAGTAGCATTTCACCTGCTACTCCATCACTGCAGACTGGATAGTAGTTATTGCTGTTGTTCCTTAGCACTTTTAGACTTTGATATTTATAATTTTGCCACCACAAAAGCAACAGACAACATATTACTTTGAGCACTAACAGGTAGAACAGGTCATGTGAAGTGAAAAAAATCTTAGTAATAAGCAGCATGTGGAGTTTAAAAGGAAAAATATATAATTATCCATCAAGTAAATGAAGAAAAGAATTCACAAAGATAAGGACTGAGGAACACAAAGTTAACGTTTGTGCAGATTCTGGTCTATACAAAGGAACTAGGTAAGTAATTTATCATTTGAAACGTATTCGATTTTTAAATTATTTTAGCCACTCTAATCCAATCAGAAAGCTATAGACATTCTTGGAAGGATTTAGGACCAAAGTTTAAGAACTGTGGCACCATTAATAGGGCACAAATGGCTCCCAGACTTTTCCTATTGACACTAGAAGCGTGAGTGCAGAATATAACCTAAGGCAGAATTTCAGAATATCTACATGTTGATTCAAAGGTTTGTTTTTTAATAGAAACCACTCACAACTTCATCCAAAATTTGCTGAAAAACTTTGACCTAAACTTAGGTCAAAGTTTTAGCCCATAGCATTACATATAACTTTGGAGATACTGAGATTATAAGGACAAATGCTCTAAAGAAAACTTTTTTGGCAGCTGGTAATCAAATCTAACTTTTAAAAATATATACTTTATGTATCAAAGCCAAGAAAGCTATTCTAAGGAAGTTTACAAAGTCTTCTAAGAAACTCTGCCAGATCTGCATTCCCATATTAGGCCATATGTTCTTTCATAATATACTGTGACTTTTCTTTAAAGCAGAGCTTCCCAGAGCGTGATACAAGGACCCTTGAGGATCTCTGAGATCGCTTCAGGAGATCCAGAGTCCTCCCTTTCCCAATGACAATTCTGTATGAAGCCAAATTTTCTTCAAAATTTCAAACAAAATGACATATTATGAAACACCAAACGCAGAAGCTGATAAGACAATCCAGCTGTCTTAAGTCAGATATTAGAAATATGTAAAATGAAAACAGTGACACTCTTTTTACTAAATTTAGTTTGGAAGTCATTGTTCATGTTATATTAACATATAATGGGATTATTAAATTAACAAATATTTTATCACTTTAATTTCTAATATGCTAAATACAACCCATATAAAACAAAAGCTCTTTGGTGTTCTCAAGTTTTAAGAGTATAAAGGGTCTTGAAACCAAAAAGTTTCAGAATTGCTGCATTAGTTTCCTCTCACAGTCACAATTTTAAATTCAGATGTTATCATTTGTTTCCTATGCTATTCTGCAAGCCACACGAAATTGGAACTTTCCAATGTTGCTCACGATTGACTTTCAAGAAGCAAATGCAGAATATTGTGCCTGCAGGATAGGCACATGATATTTAACTGTTACATACAGATTCTCCTATAAGTCAAAATGACTTGAGAATATTATTTTCACCTTAAAACCCTGCAAAAAATTTCATGACAAATTAGCATTACTCCTGTTTCCTGTTTTTCCCTAGTGATGATAGTATTGAAGATTTCCCACGTGAATGCTTTTCCAGCACAAAAAATCGACTGATACAGAATTTTATAGGAATGTTGTAATACTTCTAGAAGTGTTCAATGTAAACTTGAGAATATTTTTAAAAATAAGGTGAAATATGTAATACGTAAACCAAGGGATGGCAAAATATTTAATTTTTGAAAGACTCCTTTTAAAGAATAAATTCCTGGGGGAAAAATCATTACTTTTGGGGAAAAGTATTCTCTTAAAAAGAGCATTTTTAAAAGACAGCTTGGGCTGATATACAGGCACATACACACATACTGATTTCATGAAAAAGGTATTTTGTATATCGTGTTTCCCCCAAAATAAGACAGGGTCTTATATTTATTTTTCCTCAAGAAGACACCCTAGGGATTATTTTCAGGGGATGTGTGATTGTTTTTAAGTACAGTACAACAATCTACATTTATTCAAATATAATTAAGTCGTCTTCTTCTGGAACATCATTAACTCTCCAAACGCTGAATTCCATCCTGAATTTCTTGCGACTCTATTTTCTTTAGAACCATTGGTCCCAATCTTTCATGTCGAGCAATAGAGCTCTCACGGGGCAGATGAGAAGGGGCTGCTCGTCTTCTTTATATCTCCACGATGAAATGCATGGGTTGCGCAGCTATGCTGCATAACCATGCCCATCACTAGGTCTTATTTTCGGGGTAGGGCTTATATTGTGCAAATGCTTAGAAATCCTGGTAGGGCTTATTTTATGGGTAGGTCTTATTTTCTGGGAAACATGGTACATAGAACTCACCTTTAAGTATTTATGCTGGAGTTTCCCCTATGACTCTGTTCTGCATCTATCTGTAAGATGAAACTTACAGAGTGGACTCAACTTTTCAGAACACTTCTAGTTATTGATCTAATATTTCTTTTTCAACTCCACCACTACTTTCTTGCTGCTCTACATGTGAATGACTAAAATTCCTTATGAAACAGAAATCAAAGAATCAGGGTGTTTGGCAACCCTTTAAAAAGCAGTAACCCATTTTATTCACAGTTCGCTTTGGGAGACAGAAATCAATGTTGATTAGTTATATAGTTCTTAGCAATTATTAATAAGTGGCAACCTGAGTACTGTTTTCGAGGGATCTAAGATGAGTACAGTACAACTGGTATATCCAAATGTTAAAACTAAATATTTGTTTTACTAAGATCTATTCATTACCAAGCTGTCATAATGCATTTAAATGTGATGTATCCATTTCTTTAAAAACACAGCTATTATTAAAAACTTAGGAATAACTGAGTGTAAGCTTACCTGTTAACAAGTAGTCTTATATGTTAATACACATACAAAAACAAATATGTTAACACCCAAGGGGCTTCTCACTCCATTTTCTTCTTCATTGGTGGTATTATTTTTCTTAAAAACTTAACATATGTTTAATATGGCCTTAGATACTCTATAATTCCAAAAATATAAGATTATCACACTAAGCTACAATAAGTGAGTCAAGTGCTGTGGTAGGTAGAATAATGGCCCCTGGATACACCTATAAGTATGTCAGGTTACACGGCAAAGGGGAATAACAGTCACAGATGGAATTCAAGTTGCTAATCAGTAGACCTTAAAATAGGACGATTATCCTGGACTATCTGGGTGGGCCCAATATAATCACAAGAGTCCTTAGAAGTGGAAGAGGTAATCAGAAGAGTGTCAGAGATAGAAAAAGGCTGGGTCCCACATAGCTTTACAAATAAAGGAAGGGACCATGAGCCAAGGAAAGTGGGTGGCCTCGGGAAGCTATAACTAAGGCAAAGATATGGATTCTCCCCTAAAGCATCCAGAAAAGGAATGCACCCTGCTGAGACTCTTGATCTTACCCAGTGAGATCCACATCAGAATTCTGATCTACAAAACTGCAAAATCATAAATTTGTTGTTTTAAGCCACTAAGTTTGTAGTAATTCGTCACACCTGCAGCAGAAAACAAGACTAGAAATTATGATTTGTGATTAACATAAACTGAAAATATGTACAAAAGAACCCACAGTTTTGGGGTTACATCATCTTGCTCACTTTGGGAACCTGGCTTGCTCAGTGAAGGGTTTCAGACAGGCCCTGGAATGGGGGAAAAGAGGGCTATGATAGGTGTATACATTAATCAGGCTTTTGCTCCTCTTTCCTGTTCTCAATTCTCAGAGCACAATACCCAACCACGTGGACACTGGAGAAAAGTAGAACTGAGGCAGTATTCCAGCTCTCACAGCAGTCTAACCTGGGCAAGTTTTTCAACTTTCTAGTTTCCTCAGCTCTGTAACAAATCTTTACCTTTCAGAGCTGACCAAGGTTTATATAAAGTGCTCAATACAAGGGGTGGCCTATAGAAGGCTCATGGAGGCTCTCTTATTATCACAAAAATCACAAGGGGTAACTTTACAGGTATGGAGAAGCCCTGGTACATTTTTACTTAATGTACAAGCTGTCTTAAGATGGTTCTAGACTTTCTAAAGTGTCAATTTTTTTTGAAAGAGCAAGTTTTCCTTAAAACAGGAAAAAACTGCAGG